ATGGGGCCAGACCCTGTACTCAAGGGAGCTGGCAAGTGGGGCCAGGGAGTCAGGAGGCACCCAGGTCCAAGTCCCAGTGCGGCTCCTTCCTGTCTGCGTGACTTTGGGCCGATGGCTTCAGTGCTCAGTGCCTCAGTCTCTCCCTCTGGGCAGTGGGCACAACAATTGTTCCCATTTCGTAGAGTTGACAGTTCAGTACATGCTCTGCCTCGCTCCCTGTCTGTCTCCCCCACACCGTGGCCTTCTGGCTCAGCCCCCAGCATCCACCCAGGACACGAGGGAGAGGGAAGTCAGGAGACCCAGGGCTCAGACTCGCTCGTCACTTTGGTGGGGACTTTCTACTCTCTGGACTTAGTTTACCCGAAGTCTTCCCAGGGGTCCTTACCTTCCTGCCCTTACCACCTCCACTTTCCCTATTGTTCACTCTGCTCCAGCCTCACCGGCCTCCTCGCTATTCTCCCCAAACATCAGGTATGGTCCTGCCTCGGGACCTTTGCATGTACTGTGTTCTCCGCCTGCAAAGCTCCTACCGTGGAGTGTCATCTTTTAGGTCTTTGTTCAAGTGTCCTCTCCTATGAGAGACCCTCGATTAACCCCCCCTAGCTGAAAAAAAACAACTCCCTGCCCCGTCCTCAAACTCCTTTAAATTTCTCCAGAGCATTTTGTTCAACCTGGCATTTTATTCCATGTTTATTAGCTTGTTTAATATCCATCCCTGCCCACGTCAGGATCTGGGTGAGGGCTGAGCAGAGGACACTGCTGTGTCCCCAGCATCATGCATGGAGCTGACACAAAGTACATACTCAGTAAATGTTTGTTGAACAACCAAATGAATCTCTCCCTCATTGGATGAGAGCTGTTCATAAGCTGTGATGCTCTGAGCTTGAGGGGAGGAACCACTCTAGGTTAGGAACACTTACTCTGGCAGCAGATGGGCCTGTGTTCGAATATGAGCTCTGCTGTTTGACACTTAACCTGGAGGAGGGGACATTGGAACCAGGGCTTTGAAGGGTGCATAGGGGTTTGGGATAAAAGCTTAGGGATGGATAAGAGATTCTCAGTAATGTTTGTTGAATCACTGAGTGAATGAAGGAGAGAGAATCCTTCGTGGGAAACTTTTGGTTTGGGAATTGGAGTTTCACGTCCTGGTTTGCTGCCCTGGACTGTCAGGATGGGAGGGCTACAGGGAGGCCCAGAGTGGGGCACAATCCAGTGCGCAGTTGACCAGTCCATAGCGCCCAGCAGGGGCTTGGACCTCCCAGCTGCTGCTGTCCTCTTTGGCCAGGAAGTCCCAGCAGGGAGAGCAGGAAAGGCTGCCTGAAGGAAAGAACAGTGAAGACAGGGTTTTGAGGGATGTGTAGGAGTTCAGGAGGATTCTTGGCATCTAACTTGCCTTGGCCAAGTGGGGTTTCTGGGAAAGGCCTGGTCTTACTGCCTCCCCTCACCTTGCAGCTCTGATTACCAGGGCAATGGATAAGCCCCCCCACCGACCCCCAAAAGGGTGCAATGTCCTTTTCTGCCCTTTGTACAGAATGAGAAACAGGCCCAAGGTGGAACAGTGATTTGTTCCTGGATCATACAGAAGGTGAAAATGGAGGCTGTTGTCACCCAAACTCATTCCCTCAACAAGTCTGCCTGGCAGTGAGTGCCTCAGCCCTGGGCCTCGGGGTTGGGGGAGAGCAACTGAGCTGGACTCAGAGACCCCAAGTTGTGTGGTGCAGGCTGGGTCTGGGACAACCCTGAGGAGAGCAGGAAAGGCTGCCTGAAGGAAGGAACACTGGAGAGAGGGCCTTGAGGGATGTCTAGGAGTTCAGGAGGATTCTTGGCATCTGGCTTGCCTTGGCTGTCTCCTTTGCCCTGTCAGCCAGTGAGGGCATTGGGAAGTGCTTGGGGAAGAGGCATTGGTTGTCACAGGTCTTATGGGACAAAGAGAGTGACAGGCCTGCCTCTCACCTGGGTTGACCTCCCCAAGAGGATGTGGGAGGCTAGGGCAGCAGGTCCATGACCCAGTTACAGGCTGTTTGTCTTCCTCCAGGACCAGCTGGGGTCACCAGTGACGTGGGCTCCCGCCCCTGCCCGCCTCCCTGGCATCTTTCCCCAGAGAGGGCCCGGGGAGGAGGGGGTAGGGATAAGGCAGGGGCACGGGAGCTTGGAGAGGGGAGGAGCCAGAAGAGGATAGGAGATCGGAAAGGGGGAGGGGGCTCAGAGACAAAGGGCTTCAAGGGGAGGAAGAGTCTGGGCGCAAAACAATCGTAACAACATCAATAATAATAATAATAATAATAGTGTAATGCAGGCTTTTGAGAGCTGGGCCGATAATGGGGTTCATATGCTAGGAAGAGGTGGCATCCTGTTCAAGAAGGCCTGCTGGCTGACACTCCAGCTGCCCCTTCCCAGCTACCTCTTATTACCGCCCCAATAAGCTCCAGGCCTCGGGTGGCAGCCACAGCCATCGCCCAGGCCTCCTGCCACCCTGGTGTCCCCTCCACAGGGGACAGTGTCCTGCACCTCCATCGATTTCCCACCCCAGCTTCTCTGGCCAGACCACCTGGGCTCTGGTCCCGGCTCTGCTGACCGGCTGTGTGACCCTGGGCGAATCGCTCCCCACCCCTGGGGCTGGCACGTCAAGTGACATGGTGACGCAGAAAAAGCACCTCTGAGGTTGGATAGGACCTGACAGGGGACTGGCCCCCTCTATCCTCCCTCTGCCTCAGCAGGTCAGCTGGGGTGGGGACGGGATGGGGGAGCTGCGGAAAAGGGCCCCGAGGTCCGGTCCCCACCACAGCTGTTAGGGTGACTCACACGTTGGGGGCCATTGGCATGGGGGAGCTGGGCGGGCACAAACGGAGCCCCGTTCCGCCCCACCCCGCGAGGGCAGGAGGCTATTTTCAGAGCCTCAGTAATAGAGGAGATCTGAGGTCATCCGCCAGCCCCAGCACCCCATGGCCAGAGGTGGCCCAGGGGAAATGGAGCTCAGTCCAGGGAGGGGCGCTGGGTGGGCGGTACCGTGTGCATCCAGGCCTGGAGGTGGGAGCAAGCCTGGCCACATCCATTTAGAAAAACCAGTTCGTGGCCCAGAGCAGCGGTTTCCCTGTCTCCCCAAGAGACCCCGGCCTCACAGAGAGCAGGCTGCTCTGAGAAAGGGGCCGATGGGGTCCTGGGTTCTTGTCCTTATGCTGACTCTGAGACCCTCCAGGACCTTGGCCAGGTCTCTGCCCCTCTCTGAGCTTAGTTTCTCCATCACACAAGGCGTAGTGGAGCCTCGGGCCTTTTCCTGCCCCAGGGAGATGGTAAGCAATGGAAATAATCTTTACAGCAACAACAATGTCAATAATAATAATAATGATAATAGCATAACAGGCTTTTGAGAGCTGGGCGGATAATGAGATTCACATGCTAGGAAAAGACATCACTCCCATTCAAGAAGCCCAGCACAGCCCCCAGGCAAGAGCGGGGAGGGGGCACCGAAGTTTCTCTTCTCTGTCTTCCTTCCTCCTTGAATTTCTCATCCCTTGAGGCTGAGAAACCAGGTCCTGGATGTTATGCAGACTCAGTTTCCCTTGCTGGAAAATGGCGAGAATGAGACAGCCCCCTCCCACCCCTGTAGGAGGGGATGGGGGCCTCCCATGGCCCCACGTTATTCTCTGAGGGGCCCGATGGCGGCTGCCGTTGTTTTCGTGGGGAAGTCAGATGGGTGTGGGTTCCTGTCTCAGCTCTGCCCCTCATGATTGGGTCCCCTCTTGGGGTCTGTTTCTTCATCCATAAAATGGGTATTGTGGCCACCCAGCAGCACCATTCAGACAGAGGGAGGGGGATGTTGAAGTCACAGCTCTGGCCAGGTCGCTGAGCCTCCCAGGCCTCGGTTTTTCCATCTGTGGAATAGGTCTATGGGGGACAGGGTAGGGTGAACTGGCCCCCAGGGGCCTCTCTCTCCAGCTCTAAACCTCCATGGCTGAGCTCCCCTTTCTCTGGTGCATTCTGCTCTCTTGCCTCCTTGGGCCTCAGCTTTCCCCACCCCTATAATGGATCTATGCAGGAACCACCCCCTCTATGCAGGAACCGCGCCCCCGCCCCCGCCCCCTTCCATCAGCCCCTGACATCCAGGTGGCCCATCTTGGCCTGTGGACCTCAGCCAGTCCTGTCTGTACATCTGGGCTATAGGAATGACGTCTTGTCCTCATTTTTTTCATCACTGCCAAGAGCCGGTTGAGGCAGCCCTTGGACCCCTGTCTGGTGTCAGCTTCCTCTGCTGAACAGTAGGTCTGACAGACAAGCCCCAAGTGACCCTCTGAGCCTGGTTGCTCCTGGAATCGTGACCATCCAGTGTGTGCTCAGCCCTGCTCTGGACATTTGAGCTCACACTCTAGTTCAGTGGTTTGCAAACTACAGTCACAGGGCCCAGTGCCCACCGTCTGTCTTTATAAATAAAGTTTTATTGGAACACTGCCATGCCCATCCCTTACATCTCCTCTGTGGCCAGTCTTGCACTACAGTGCAGAGTGGAGCAGTTGAAACAGACACGAAAATACTCACTATCTGGTTCTTTATGGTACTTTTAAAGTTTGCTGACCACAGTTCTAGAAGGCAGGGAATGGATCCGTGCCACCAGCATTCCACCATCCTCAGTTTTCCCCATCTGTACAAAGGGTCCCCATCAGCCTCCACCTGGGACCCCCAGCTTGTCCTGCCTGTACATTGGGGTTCAAGAAAGTCCTCCATGAACGGCTGCCTTCGTCTGTGCCTCCCACGTGGTCCAAGCCTCAGTTTCCCCATTTGGGCAATGGGTTCTCAAACGACCCGGTGAACCTCTGCTGGGTCCCCACTGGCCTCCACTTTTTTCCCCAGGATGTGGAGGGATCTGCAGCAGCCCCCTGCACCCCTCTGCCTGGCCCTCCTTCTAGCGGGTCTGCCTGGGGCCCCTGCGGCCTCATTCTTACGGGCGGGGCAGTGGGTCCATGGGCCCCAGCGCCTTCTGACCTCGGGTCTCTCCCACCCCGCAGGATGAGTTCCACCCGTTCATCGAGGCGCTGCTGCCTCACGTGCGCGCCTTCGCCTACACCTGGTTCAACCTGCAGGCGCGGAAGCGCAAGTACTTCAAGAAGCACGAGAAGCGGATGTCGAAGGACGAGGAGCGCGCGGTGAAGGACGAGCTGCTGGGCGAGAAGGCCGAGGTCAAGCAGAAGTGGGCGTCGCGGCTGCTGGCCAAGCTGCGTAAGGACATCCGGCCCGAGTGCCGCGAGGACTTCGTGCTGGCCATCACCGGCAAGAAGGCGCCGGGCTGCGTGCTCTCCAACCCCGACCAGAAGGGCAAGATGCGTCGCATCGACTGCCTGCGCCAGGCCGACAAGGTGTGGCGGCTGGACCTGGTCATGGTCATCCTCTTCAAGGGCATCCCGCTGGAGAGCACCGACGGCGAGCGCCTGGTCAAGGCGGCGCAGTGCGGCCACCCGGTGCTCTGCGTGCAGCCGCACCACATCGGCGTGGCAGTCAAGGAGCTCGACCTCTACCTGGCCTACTTCGTGCGTGAGCGAGGTGAGGCGGGGCTTGCGCGTGCACGCGGATCTGGGGGCCAAAAGGGGGTGCGTTGGAAGGTCGTCGAGGGGGGGAGGTGGGCGCACGCAAAGGTAGGAGCCAGGAGGCGGGCCTTAAAGTCCGAGGGCGGGGACAGGTGCAGTGGGAGGATCTGAGCCCTGTGAGGGGCCAAGGGGAAGAGGTGTGGTTCAGGGAGAGTCTGGGGTGGGGGGCAGGTGCGTCCTGGGGCTCTGAAGGTAGAGGCAGGCCCTGACCTTGGGGGGTCAGGGGCCCAAGGGGGGTGGCAGGTCTCAGGAGGTGAGACCCTGTCCCAGGAGGTCTGTTGGCAACAGGGGTGAGGATAGGCCAGTGACGGAAGCGCGGGGGCGGGGGGGGGGGATCTTATCCCTCCTGGGAAAGCTGGGGGAGAGCTGGGGTTGCACTTTGTGACTGATGGGTGATCGGCTCTTGGACTCCCGTGTGACTTTGGCTAGGCCACCAGCCTCTCTGGTCTCCAGCGGCCCCCACTCTGGCCCTTCGAGCTGTGTGTTTGCTGGCTCTGTGGTCAGATGGCCCACATGGAGACTAGCAGGGTTTGCGAGGATGGGGAAATCCACGGCAGCTTCCCGGAGAGGGGGCTCCACTGAGCTGAGCTCTGCAGAACGACTGGGCAGTGATGAGAGTGGGGATATCCCAGGAGGTCAGCCGCCTAAACAGAGATGTGGAGGTCAAGGGCAGGCAGGCCCTGGCTGGGAGGGCAGTGGGGTCTGTTGCCCCGCTGTTCCTGGTGGTGTGGCCAGTGGAGCTGTCAAATGGAGGGTGTCAGCATCCTTACCTAGATTGGGCCTGGGGAGACTCGCCGAGATCGTGTGTGTGTGTGTGTGTGTGTGTAGCATGTTGGACTCTGGCCTGCCACGTGGCGGGTGGCAGCCGTGACTGTCTTCATGCAGATGGAATCAGGTGTGCCCAGAGACCCTAACAGGCACATGTCCCATTCCCCACCGTGCCCACCCAGGCTGGTACACACGTGGGTGCGAACCCACACACACCCGGGGCTGCCTGAACGTGTCAGGTGGGTGCACTCGGGTTGCAAACCCAGCCCTAAGCCCCCGTAGACCCCACAGGAGCCCATGTGATCACAACCAGAAATGATGGCGGAAGGCTGGGGGAGGGGTGGTGAGAAGAGAGCGAACTCCGGGGCTGGACTGCCCAGATTCCGAACGCAGCCCTGCCATGTGGTGTGCTGGCTGTGTGACTTCGCCTCAGTCCCTGTCCTCTGCCTCAGTTTCCTCCTCTGTACAGTGGGGGTAACAACCATGCCAACTCTTAGCGATGCTGTGAGGATTCTATGAGGTCTCCTGCTCTCCATTGTGTGTGGGAGGGAGAGCTGGGGCAGATTTTCCCAGTCTTGACCTTGGCCTCATCTGCCCCTCCCCCCACCCCCACCAATTAGCACTAAACGCAGGGGGCCAGAGGCAGAGGGGTAGACAAGGTGACCGTTTGCTGCGGGCGGGATTGGGGGTGTGGGCAGGGGCAGCCTTGGGGGCTGCAGTGCCCATTACCATGCAGGTCCTGGTCTCTCTCACCACATCCATCCTCCTCCTCCACGCTGAGCTGATAAAATTTTGAAGCGAGTTTTCTGCCAGCGTCAGCACAATCTCCGGGCGCCTCCCCTCCCCCATCGGCCCCCTCCCCCCTCAGCTCAGCAGGCAGGCCAGGCCTCCGGGCCTCCCCAGACACCTTCGCGTGCGACTGCCATGCCTTTGCTGGCCGGTCTGGTCAGCATCCTCACGTGAGGGCCAGGGAAGGTCAAGGCTGCTGCGCCCTCCCGTGCAGGCTCCATCATCCCAGGGGACCACTGCTGCTCAGACAGGCCCCAGCTGACCCAGCTTCAGCTGGCTGGGAGTGAGGGTCGGGCGTGAGGGCTGGGCCAGGAACCCACTCCCAGCTCAGCTGCCTGCCTAAGGGCCGGGTGATCCTAAACAAGTCACTTAATCTCTCTGTGCCTGCTTTCTTTGATTTTAAAATGCGATGCTCAAAAATAGCTGGCCGGTAGGAATGTTGTGTTCTCACGGTAAGCGTTCAACAAATAACCCCCATGCAGTCATGAACACAGGTACCAGGCACAGGGCTAGGGCTTTGTGGACCGTTGTTATCAACATTATCATCCTCATTAGGATTATGATTTCCCGCCTCCATGCCTTTGCCCATGCTGTTCCCTCTGCTTGGAATGCCTTTCCCGTCTGGAGGACTCCTACTTATGCTTCAAAACCCCAACTCCCAGCTCCACTTTCTCTCCATCAGGCATTTTTTTCTGAGGACTTAGCAATTCTTTTCCATCCTCATGGCAACCCTGCAAGGCAGGGGTCATTGTACCCATTTTACAGATGAGGAAACCAAAACCCAAAGAAGATAACTGCCCAGCGCAAGGTCACACAGCTAGGAAATGGCAGAGTTAGGGTTTAGACGTGGGCGGGTTCTGTTGCTGACACCCCTGCTAGCCTTCTGCACTCGGTGGCAGAAGGGGATGGAAGTAAATCACAGTGTAGGATGTGGGTATCCAGTCAACGTGGCTGGACCACCTCCGGGCTGGGTCTGTGTTCTAGGCTCCTAGGCCTAGCTAGGGCCTCCTCCGGGGTTCCCAGGCCGAGGCTGGCCCCCAGAACCCCCTGTTGAGCTTCAGCTCCCCAGCTTCCACCGCAGGACCCCTGTCTTCATCTGGGCCAGAGTTATGTCTCTCTTCTCAGCCAGGTAGTCATCTGACCTCAGAGACAACTGGTCACCTCCCTCCTCTCACCTGGTGGGTCCCAGGGCTGCAGGGGGTCCTGGCCAAGGCCAGAGTGCGGTGTCCACTCAAATCAGCCCTGCTAGGAGGCTATGGGATTGATGGGGAGTGGGGGAAATGGGCCTCAGTTGGCTTCTGGGGGCGGGTGTCACAGGGTGGATAGTGGGACAGGCACCCGCCATTACGGCTGAAAAGGAGGTACCACCTCTAGCGTCAGAAGCGGGGCCTTGGAGCCGAGAGGATGACAGTGAGAGAGAGAGACAGAGAGACCCAGAGACATGGGGAGACACAGAGAGACCCACAGACGCATCATACGCTCGGCCCTTCCCTGTCCCAAGACAAGGGGACAAAGTCCAGCTCCCCCCACGGCCTCCGTCCTTATCTCTCCCAGGGGGTGTCAGGCGGACTGCTGGAGCCGCACCCCAAAGGGGAATCCCAGGCCTCCATCCTTGGGTTTATTTTGGAGGAGAGAAGGGTGGGGACGAGCCGTGAGGAGGTGCCTTTAGCGCTGGGGCTGCCAGGCTGATCAGAGCCCAGGGCACCGCCTGGGGCCGAATTTGGCAGCTTCAGGCATCCATCTGGCACCGTTGTGGACACAGGGGCCTGATTCCAGGGGTGGACTCCGTGTGTGCCCTGGGGGTGGGCTAGGGGACAGCTGGGGGGCCATGATGAGGGGGAGACGTGAGCTCCACCTTGGGACATTGGGGCTGCCCGCTCAATGCGTGCACTTTAGGGGGAGGGATGTGTGCAGTTAAGCAGGGCATGGGCAACCTGACAATTCTCAGTTAAATTAGTAAAAACCTAATGACAGGGAGGGGTGTGGAGAGGGAGGGCAGGGCAGGCATTCTGGCCAGGGAGGGCCTGAAAGAAGTGAGCGAGCTGCAGAGGGATGTGAGTGAGAGTGTGCAGGGCAGTGGGGGGGGGGCACAGTCAGTGCAAAGGCCCTGGGGCTGGAATGGCCCAGAGCACAGGTGCTAGTTGGGAAGGTGAGGCCCTGTGCCTGGTGTTGGGGAGGCCGGGAGCGGGTGAGCCGGCTCTCCTCTCTCCTGCCTCCCATTTGAGAAGGAGTCTGGAGAAAGCAGGGCCCAGAGAGGGAAGCCGCCTGCCCAGCCCCGAAGCCCAGCCAGGCCTCCCCGCCCCCTCTGGCGGCCTGAGAAACCTGAGGCGCGGGCGGGCACCGTGCCAGGGCGGGAGGGGGAGGGGCTGCCAGGCCCGCCCGCTCCGGCAGCTGCCAGCCCGCCCCGAGCCCCGCCAGCCCAGATGGTGCCCATCTGCTGACGCTGCCGTGGGCTGGCCTCCCGTTCCCGCCTCCTGTTCCCGCCTTGATCGGTGCCAACCTCCCGGAAGGGCGCTGTGGGCAGGGGCTGGCTTGGGAAGCTTGCAGCTGCTAGAGGAGCTGCCCAGGGTGCCCAGGGAGGGGTCAGGAGGAACTGGGGGCAGGGGTCCCCATCGCCTCCTGGATGGACCTGGGAAACAATAATAACAACAGAGATAATAGTAACAGCAAAAACATCGTGTACCCGGTGCTGAGCCCATCCTAAAACTGGTTTCATTCTCTCCACCACTCTGGGAAGGAGGGACTATTACCTTCTCCCCTGTTTCAGATAAGGAAACAGTCCCAGAGATGGTCAGCCACTTGCCCAAGGTCACACAGCTCCTAAGAGGTAGGGCGAAATTAGAACCCACAGATCCTGACTCCTTGAAACCATTAAAGGAGAAAACCTAAAAACCGCTTTTGAGGTTATGAGATGGAACCCACACCTTCCTAGTTGTACAGATCATGAAAAGAGCTGGCCCGGAATACACAGTGAACCAATGAATGAATATCAGTGAACGTTCCCGAAGTGCCTACCGTGCCCAAGGCTGGGGGCTGGGGTCTCCATAAAGCACACCCAGGGCTCGGATGGCAGGAGAAAGGGCCTGGAGCAAGGGGGCCTGGATCAGTCTCAGCTCTGCTCCTGGCTTGCTGTGTGACTTAGGGCAGAGCCCTGCCCTCTCTGGTCTGGGCTTGGAGGAGAGCTGAGGCCGGGAAGGTCAGGCCTTGTGGGGCCACAGAGAGAAACAAGCCAGACCCTGAGTGCGGGTCCTGCCGTCTCCTCTAGCCCCTGCTAATCTTCATCCCAACACTGGCCCTGTGCTGGGGAGGCAGAGGGCGGATGTGGACAGGAGGGCGTGTAAGGGCACCCGTTGGCTTGTGTAATGGATACAGTTTGTGTCCACACGTGTTCCAGGCTGC